GAGGCAGTTCTAGTGGTCCATACTCTAGATAGCGCCGATGATTCCAGCCTTCTGTAGCAAGAGAATCAGCAACCTGGTTGCCTTCTCTGTAGATGTGTGAAACCGTGTCTCTATCGAAGTGGATGAGGTCTCTGATCTGTCTAAGAATACCCTGAATCGACCATGGTCCTCCACCTTTGGTAATGCAGTGAATAGCAATGTTGAATCTGCCTCGAGCCAGATAGCTAAAATCCCAAGTCCTCTGGCCAATAGAAGCCCATCTAGTATGGCTCTGAGTTCAGCCTCCAAAATGAAACATTGGCCATACGATGCTGAGAATGCCCTGATACAGTATCCTGCGTGGTCTCTAATGATGCCTCCACCACTTGCAAATCCATCTTTGACGCATCCATCAGTGTTGATCTTGTAGGATCCAACTGGTGGAGTGCGCCAAACAACCATAATAGGTGGTGGTGGGAGAGGACGGGTTAAAGAAATGCCAAAAAAAGGTGCAAGTGTCACATCTCCTCGCCAATGCTTAACTCGGAATAGTCCTCCCATATGAAGAAAGGAGATCATGTGGTAGACCCTCCAAATAATACGTCTGGCCACCATACGAATACCTCTATGCTTCGCATCATTCCTCTCAGTCCATAGAAACCAAAATATCAGTAGAGGAATGATAATACGAATGTATTGTATTTTACTACATGGTCTAAATTTTAAACTCATATCTCTATTTGTAAAGAATTCACAAAAATCATCAAATTATTGATCAAATAATTTAATGCATTTATACCAATGTATTGGATTTTACTACATGGTCTAAATTCTAAACTCATATCTCTATTTGTAAAGAATTCACAAAAATCATCAAATTATTGATCAAATAATTTAATGCATTCAATTCATAGAAAAATCAACACATGAAAAAATTAAAAACTAGAATCTTAATAAGAGAATATAAAGGATCCTAATTAGTTACATTATTCCCCTAACAATGAATTTAGCTACTCATAATGCAAAAAGAAAAATAGAAAATTGTCTTAAAATACATCACCGGATTTGTAATAAAGATGTAGAAGAAAAAGTAGAATTCTTGCACCAAGATCTCCTTCCCCTTCCAATGAATGCTTCTAATCTTCAATTGTTTGGTGTTAATTTTCTTGAATTTCTCTTTTGAATCTCCCTTTTTTTTTTTTTGTCTTGTCTCCAATATGTCAAGAACCCCTCAAAAGTATGAGAAATATGTATTTATAGGTGTCCCTCCGTTTTGTGTAGAAGTAGGGTTTTTACGGATTTTAAAATGGCAAAAAAAAAAAAAAGTGCCCTAGACACTTAGTCGTAGTGCCTAAGCGCTACAAGACAGCGCCTAGGCGCCGCGTCAGTTTAATCACAACGCCTGGGCGCTATGATTGCAGCGCTTAGACGCTGCCTTTCGGGTTCAAATTTCATCTTTTTTCAGTTTCGTAACGCCTAGGCGCTATGAATGCAACGCCTAAGCGCTGTCTTTCTGCCCCAATTTCATATTTTTTGCCTCTTTGTCCACTTTAATGGCTCTTTTCGCATCGCCTCTCCTAATCTTCAAAACAACACTAATAAACACATAAAAAAGGTTCTATACTCACAAGATCTAACATTTAATCAAACTAAACTTGTGTAAAATTCATGAGTGAAACAAACTCATCACTAGGCAAAGTAGACGAAAAGTTTAATCAATTAAGGCACTCTAATTTTTCTTAGCACATTTAATAAAACAACCCTGCAATCATTTTGCTTGGGTGATATATAATAAAATTTGACGAGAGACATTTTATTTTGATACGAACTTTTCGAAAGATTTAACCCAAACCTTAATCAACGGTAAGTTGCTTCAATTTCCCTTTTACGAATAGCATGTCCGATGTAGCATTAGACGTTCAGCTAGTCAATTCCGCCTTAGGTTTGTCCAAAATAGGACTTTGAATAATCCGACTCTTTAAAAAAAATAAAAAAGGAAAAAAAAATGCAAAGCTAAGCCAATAGGTGTTTTCGTCAAGTTTTTGGGAGCAAAGCATGCTCGATTCATTATGATATTTGAATATGAACAAATAGATTATGAATAAAACTTTTAAATACAAAATAAATGGTTTTGCGTATTGGTAGAACGAAGATCAACATTATACAAAAAAAGAAAATAAAAAAATGAACCTTTAAACTTCACTATATCCACTATTTGCACAATAATTGCCCGGAGCGCCGCATTAATAGATACAATTAAGCCCCCGTTTGGTTCTTCGTCCAAAAAAAATCAATTTTTTGACCGTTACTTAATATAGTCAATCGTCATTTTTTACTTCTTTACTCACCATAAGCACAGGGATTCACTTTTCTTTCTAACGATCAAAAAATTCATTCTTATTATTACTATCGAACAAGCCCTAAAAGCTATATTCAACTTTTCACTTGAAGAAACAATAGAATGTTCGGTCATCAAAAGATTTGATACATGGATCTGATTTAAGCCCTTGTTTGATTTTCATTAAATTACATTACATTACATTCTACTTTTTCTCTCTCATATTTTCAACCACACAATCTTCCATAAAATAATATTACACGTAAATCGAAAATTTTTCTTTCTTTTTCAACCACTCATTCTTCAAAAAACATTATTCTATACATTAAATTTTCCCCGTAATGGGGGCCAAACAGGGGCTTACACTATAAATGGAGAAGGACTCCTAAATACAAGAAGTAAGCTGGGTGTACAGACCACATTTCACATAGCCTCACATGACACATGAGGTGGATCTCACCTTATTAAAAAAATACTCGAAAAATATCCATATGTGAGGAGCCTGTGGGACAGTGCAGCATCACCCTAAATACAATTACCAGGCATTGCCCTTGAGGTCGAATGTATATTAAAATAAATTGGGTAGATGGAACTTTCTTGATGGGCAAGTTTGCTTGGAGGCCAAGAAGTCAATAAAGTACGCTCGCAGCCTGGAAGCCGGCCCCTATATTTGTCATTTCCGCTGCGACGTCTCTCTCTCTCTGTCAGCTGCTAAAGCTTTGGACTTGGAATCGCTCAGGGATCGGAGCCGCCTCTCATCTTCACATTGGTAGAGATTATTGTCTTTCACGCACATATATTTCTATCTGTATGTATAGTCTACAGTTTCGTTGCTTCATTTGATACTGCACTTGATCTTTGTTGGGCTAAGGCTAAGTAATTCATCATGTCATCTTTCGACAATCTAGTGTGTTTTCCTGTATTTGACTTGATTGGTAATATGTTTAGATGCAGATCATTTTTGAACTGTCTATTGATTTTTCTAATAATTATTATGGGTTTTGTATTAATTTTATTTGAGGGTGTTTTACTGTTAACGCATGTTTGTCTCAGCCTAAAATAAAATTAAGTTTACGTAAAATCAACTTTTAAGCTCAGTCAAATATGTTTATGCTTTAAAATTACGTTTATGGAACTTTATTCTCCAAACATTGAGCATGTTTGGCTGGGCTTAAAAGCAGCTAATTTTGGTAATAATATGTTTGTAACTTAAGGTTACTTTGTTCGCCAAACATGTTAGGCTTTTCTTTTTAGAATTTAATTTTGCTAATTTAAAAGCATGGTCTCAATCTAGCACAGAATTTTTTTTATTAATTGAAATTGTGGATTTGTATAAAAAAACAGAGATTCAATCACATCCGGACGTGTTATAGTCTTGTAAACACACAGATATGCACAAGAGTATGCTTCAACTTAAACTTTTGAGGAAATTTACAGTGCAATCTTTGATTTGTGTTTGAAAAATTCTGATCGACTTTTACTGGCTTTTCATACAAAATGAGTCAAAAAATTCTGATGTGATCAACTTTTACTTTTACTGGCTTTTCAAATAAGATGTGTCAATCGTTTAAGCTGATAGAATCATGTTCCGATCTTTCTAGTGAAGGGATGATTCTCTACAATCTTATTTCGTACTCCATGATTTTCTTGCATAAATTGCACCAGTCTGTTGATTTATAGTTATCTGATGTTTTGCCTTGCGGGCCACAGGTGTTCTTGAAGAAATATCTTCCCTCTACTGTTGCGAGCTTTGCCTTTGATTCGCCTGGCCTGTCAAAAATGGTTGGTATACAATCATTTCTCGAAATATAATCTTTGGTTGCTGGTGACTGTTTTCTGATGGTGAGATAACATTTGTAGGTGAAATTCTCAGCCGATGAGCTCCGTAGAATTATGGATTTGAAGCATAATATACGTAATATGTCGGTTATTGCACATGTTGATCATGGTAAGGATGCTAGTAGATAACAACTGCTCAAGTCCAGTCAATTGTTGCAAGATTCTAGCTATGCTTATTATTATGCGGATAGAGTGAAATAATGTATTATTATCAATTTGGGTTCAGTTTTACTTAGTAGTATATCAGCAAGAGTATAAATTTTCATAACCAATAGAGAAAAAGAGAGATTTAATTGTTGATTTATTGACAGAGCGTGCAATGTGTTTCTTCTTTCTCCCTTAATCGCATCATTAGAGTTGGTCGATGTCCTAACATAACCTGTTGTTTGTCATTAACAGGGAAGTCCACCCTTACTGATTCTCTAGTGGCTGCTGCCGGTATTATTGCACAGGAAGTTGCTGGAGATGTCCGAATGACAGATACAAGACAGGATGAGGCTGAGCGAGGTATTACTATTAAGTCTACTGGTATTTCACTCTACTATGAGATGGCAGATGAAGCTTTGAAGAACTTTAAGGGAGAGCGCCAAGGGAATGAATACCTCATCAATCTTATTGATTCTCCTGGGCACGTCGACTTCTCATCTGAAGTGACAGCTGCTCTTCGTATTACTGATGGTGCACTTGTCGTGGTTGATTGCGTTGAAGGCGTTTGCGTTCAAACAGAAACCGTCCTTCGACAGGCCCTTGGAGAAAGGATTCGACCTGTCTTGACAGTGAACAAGATGGACAGGTGTTTTCTCGAGCTCCAGGTCGATGGAGAGGAGGCTTATCAGACATTCCAAAGAGTTATCGAGAACGCAAATGTCATCATGGCCACATATGAAGATCCCCTGCTTGGTGATGTCCAGGTTTACCCTGAGAAAGGTACAGTTGCCTTTTCTGCTGGGTTGCATGGATGGGCTTTCACTCTTTCTAACTTTGCCAGGACGTATGCTTCCAAGTTCGGTGTTGATGAGGCTAAGATGATGAAAAGACTTTGGGGTGAGAATTTTTTCGACCCTGCCACTAAGAAATGGACCACCAAAAACACTGGTTCTCCAACTTGCAAGCGCGGATTTGTGCAATTATGTTATGAACCTATCAAGCAGATCATCAACATTTGTATGAATGATCAAAAAGATAAGCTCTGGCCTATGTTACAGAAGCTTGGTATCACCATGAAGTCCGAAGAGAAAGATTTGATGGGGAAGGCACTGATGAAACGTGTTATGCAAGCATGGCTTCCTGCTAGCGATGCTCTCTTGGAAATGATGATATTCCACCTTCCATCTCCTGCCAAGGCTCAAAAATACCGCGTGGAGAACTTGTATGAAGGTCCGATGGATGATCCATATGCTAATGGTATAAGAAACTGCGACCCTAAAGGGCCTCTCATGCTCTATGTGTCTAAGATGATACCTGCATCTGATAAGGGTCGATTCTTTGCTTTTGGTCGTGTATTCTCCGGTAAGGTCTCGACAGGTTTGAAGGTCAGAATCATGGGACCCAACTATGTCCCAGGAGAGAAAAAGGACTTGTACGTTAAGAGTGTACAGAGGACTGTTATTTGGATGGGCAAGAAACAGGAAACTGTGGAAGACGTGCCTTGTGGAAACACAGTTGCTATGGTTGGTCTTGATCAATATATTACTAAAAATGCAACTCTTACCAATGAAAAAGAAGTTGATGCTCATCCAATTAGAGCAATGAAGTTCTCGGTCTCACCTGTTGTGCGTGTGGCTGTCCAGTGTAAGGTTGCTTCTGACCTGCCCAAGCTCGTTGAGGGTTTGAAACGTTTGGCCAAATCTGATCCTATGGTTGTCTGTACAATTGAGGAGTCTGGGGAGCATATTATTGCTGGTGCTGGAGAACTCCACCTTGAGATATGTTTGAAGGATTTGCAGGAAGATTTCATGGGTGGTGCTGAAATTGTAAAATCTGATCCAGTTGTGTCCTTCCGTGAGACTGTTCTGGTGAGGTCTTGTCGCACTGTTATGAGTAAATCTCCTAACAAGCACAACCGACTTTACCTGGAAGCTAGACCCATGGAAGAGGGACTTGCCGAGGCCATTGATGATGGACGTATTGGTCCAAGGGACGATCCAAAGATTCGTTCCAAGATTTTATCGGAGGAGTTTGGTTGGGACAAGGAACTTGCAAAGAAAATATGGTGCTTTGGTCCTGAGACTACCGGCCCCAACATGGTTGTTGACATGTGCAAGGGTGTTCAGTACCTGAATGAAATTAAAGATTCTATTGTTGCTGGATTTCAGTGGGCTTCTAAGGAAGGTCCTCTGGCTGAGGAAAACATGAGAGGGATCTGCTTTGAAGTTTGTGATGTGGTTCTTCATGCTGATGCTATTCACAGAGGAGGAGGCCAGATAATTCCAACTGCTAGGAGGGTTATTTATGCTTCCCAGCTTACTGCCAAACCTCGGCTTTTGGAACCGGTATACCTGGTAGAGATACAAGCACCCGAGCAGGCTCTTGGCGGTATTTATAGCGTTCTGAACCAGAAACGCGGGCACGTGTTTGAAGAAATGCAGAGGCTGGGTACTCCATTATACAACATCAAGGCTTACCTTCCTGTCGTCGAGTCTTTTGGTTTCTCGGGTAACTTAAGAGCTGCTACGTCAGGACAGGCCTTTCCTCAGTCCGTGTTCGATCATTGGGACGTGATGTCGTCTGATCCGCTGGAATCGGGATCCCAAGCTGCACAGCTTGTCACTGATATCCGTAAGAGAAAGGGTTTGAAGGATCAGATAACACCTCTTTCTGAGTATGAAGACAGGCTATGAGCAATCATACTTTCAGCTTGGTGACAGATTAATTTTCTGAAAATAAACAGTACTGTGTAATATATGTAACTTTAGGTGCAAAATTACGCGTGGCAGAAGAGGGAAGTGAAGTGAAGTGAGAGTGATCACGAGCCGAAATTTTTTTCTCGCGTGATGAGATGGCACACGAAGTTTAAAGCATAAATAAATAAATTAAATATTTGCGTGATGCGTTATACATGCAGTTAGAGACTCGTACTCATTATAATTCATTTGAATTGATGTGTTGTCCACGCATGTGTTGTCCACATCATTGGTATTTTAGACCCCACCGATGATGTGGCAACACAACATCATATGTTGTCATATTATCAATGGACTACATATCTTTTATTCGCTATGAATATGAGATCAGTTTTGTATAGTTCATTTTATGCGTACGGATTAACTCGTGACACGTTTGAATTATGCTAGACAAAGACCACATTCGAATTGATCCCAAGAATGACACGTCTATTTTTTTTTACCTAATATCTTCAATTCACTATGAATATGAAATCAATTCTGTATAGTTCATTTTATGCGTACGGATTAACTCTTGACACGTTTGAATTATGCTAGACAAAGACTGCATTCGAATTGATCCAAGAATGACATGTCTATTTTTTTTTTTATTATTATTATTATTTCTTTTTGATTTGACTGCATTCTACCTTTACAAAGAATAGGTGAAAATAGAGAAAGAACGTAATTTCCCAGCAATTTCTCATTAAGATAATTAAAAATAGCTTTCATTTATGCAATATTTAATAATATCCATTCTGTCTGGGCGTATATCATGATTTATCTTTGATTTTTATATTTTCTAGGGATATTTTAATATATAAGTATCAACAGCGCAAGTGTAAATACAAATTGCTTGGAATTATAGAGGAATAGTTTAATAGAATCAATGGATAGAGCTAGCAAATTCAAACGGGTTTGTGTCTTCTGTGGAAGCAACCCAGGCTATAAGAAAATCTTCAGTGATGCTGCTATTGAATTGGGCAATGAAATGGTTGGTTATTTTTCCTTCATAAAAGCGTTAATCTTTGTTTCAGTATTGGATATTATTTTGCATTTATTGAATTACAGCGTCGAAACACTTAATAATGGGATTCTTGTGTTTTGAATTGGGTTTTTACAAGTTTTATGCCTTTTTAGATAGATTTCATTGTGTTTTCTCGGTAAGCTTGCAAATTTTCCATATTTTCAACTTTTACTTGCTTTGATGCTTTATATCTTTGATAATGCCATTAACTTGCTTTCTGCTTATTATCTTTCACTTTTTGAATATTAATTGAAGGTGAATAGGAAGATGGACTTGGTTTATGGCGGTGGGAGTGTTGGTTTAATGGGGCTAATTTCCCAGAGAGTCCATGATGGTGGTTGTCATGTTCTTGGGTAAGTGAAAAATGGACCTTAAAATTAATATTTTTATGAGTAACAATAGATTGATAACATTCGATTACAATGTTGATTGCTTTGAATGTGCAGTGTCATTCCGAAGGCTCTTGTTCCGATTGAGGTATTTCCTCATAAAATTTTTTGCAAGTTTTTCCGACTGTTCAATAATGTCTGAGCTACAATGTTCACCTTGATTGTTCGTGGACTATTGACAATCTGAAATCATCCCGAAATTACAGATAACCGATGGGACCAGAACTGCTAGTGACTAGTTTTCTTTCAAAAATGTACTTGTACCATGTTAATTGCACTATTTCTTGATTGTGCTTTTTGAGTTGCGTTCTTATATCTTAAAAATCTTCGGTTATTTATGCAATGGATGGTAATGCCATTTCATATAGAGGTGACAAATGGGAATGATATTAGAATATGTTTTATAATTCGATACAAGTTCTACATCGACTAGACCGTTCTTCTGTGGCTAAATATAAACATTGTTTATCTCGAATAATATATTACTGAAATGAGTCCTAGTGACAGATATCCGGTGAAGCTGTTGGTGATGTAAGCATTGTTATGGATATGCATGAGCGTAAAGCCAAAATGGCTTCGGAGGCAGAGGCTTTTATTGCTCTTCCTGGTAATAATCTGGAATTCTATTCAAGCGTTTTTATGTTTTCCTACATTAACCTATAGGGCAACATTTTGGTGTCATGAATATCGTAGGAGGATATGGAACTATGGAAGAGCTATTGGAAATGATAACATGGGCACAACTTGGAATTCACAAAAAACCGGTGAGGCAGTCACGCAAGCCGTGCAACTATGATTATCATGTTAGATTTAAGATGAGAAGAATTGCTTGCTTATTATGTGTTATTCATTATACAGGTTGGCTTGCTAAACATTGATGGATACTACGACTCTTTGCTCACATTATTTGACAGAGGTGTTGAAGAAGGTTTCATTAAGCCAAGTGCTCGGCATATAGTTCTTTCGGCTCCAACTGCCAAAGAGCTTTTAACAAAAATGGAGGTATCAATCTTTAAGGCTTCACTTTCAACTTTTTTACTTGAGTGCCCAAGTCAGTAAGTTTAGCTCAAATAAGTAGGTAATAAGTAATGTGATGCACAATCCTTAATGCTGGTGGATTGGATTCCTGGAATATGTTTAAATTATTATAAGTGTTGAGTAAATTGAAATGATGATTGTTTGTTCTCTTATCATGTATGCTCTCTTGATGAGATGCTATCAAAGGTAAAGGTGGAAACAGAACACTGATTTAGGCTGTGGCATTGGAAGTTCGCTTGGCCAAAGTTTTCTTGCCATAGAGGCCTTGTTTAAAGAGTACTAGGAAATTCAAGCCTGTTTCTCAATTTTTTAGTATTCTAGGTTTGCAATAGAATTTTTTTTTTTTTTTTCCTGTATAAATAAGAAGAGATGATCGGATAATTACATTTGCAGAATAAAGAGATGAGATGAGAATTATCTTTGGTAATTAAGCATGAGAGTCAAATGAATAGAAAGATACGTATTTCAATTTGCTCTTTCCGGTGAGATCAAATATAAGTATAATGCAGCTACAGTAGAATGATAACTAAGTAAATGATAAAAAAACATAATGCATTTCTGCAGCTACTTGTTGCTTGAATGACCTTGTATGATGCAGGGACTGATTCTGTTGTTTAACTTGCAGCAATACACTCCATACATGGACCATGTGGCCCCTCATGAAAGCTGGAAAATGGAGCAACTGGGCGATTACCCAACTGAAATCAAGTCATGATGAAATTCTTGTTTTTTGGTAGGCCTATCTCTCAAATGAGTACTTTAATGCAATTAGATCTGATTGATTGTGACGTAAGAGGTTCTTCATGGGGGCCACATATAATGCATTACCACGTACCCTTTTCATTCTTTGTAGTCTGAATTTCATCGGAATTTTCCTTTGGGTTTCCCACAACTCTGTTATAGCTGAATGGTTAATCAGTGCACCATTGTTCTTCGTTCTTGCTATTTTTAGTTGGAAAACAATTAGTTCAACCGCATTTCATTGTGCATTATTTCTTGCGTATTTCTGATTCTGTGCAAGTCCTTGTGTAAATGCTCAAAATGAGTATCAGCTTCACAAGGTTATATCAGATTATGGTCTCATGATTGCAGGGGTCGATTGCTAGAAGCAGCTCTTTCTTTCCTGTATGGAATTCTTGAGCATAATGAGGATAAGACCAGCTTAGTATAGAACGAGAATGATGTTTTATCAGGTCGATTAGTACAGATTCAATAATCTGTGCATTTCTTCTGAAGATATTGAATTGTTATGACGGTCTAAAGAATCTATTTGTTCTTCAGCAGTGCGTAGGTCTAGAGATATGCAAACTGCTCGAAATTTTATTTGTGCACAATCATCATCTCAATGAAGTTGCCTTCGGCCTTTCTTTTGAAGAAAATGATTTTCCTGTAGAATTTACTCATTAATTCCCTACGAAATGGGTAACGCACTACTAAAAACCTGTCTAAAGGGCCAACTTATTTGTCACACTTCAAGTCATTGTCAGCCCACAAAGCACAAGGGATGCCATTGTTGAGGGGGACACACTGCCCCCAAACATGCCCTCTAGAAACTGTTTGATTTGATGGAAATTTTGGTTTGTTTTAAGGGTTTTGATAAACGAACAAGGGCCGTGACAGGCCGGGGGCACCACATAGGCGACCTGTCATAGGTGCTTGTCACGCCCCTATCACAATAGCAAAACCCTTGACTTAACCCTAACAACATTGTCAAACTAGGGTTGGAGTGTCTTTAGGAGATTTTAAGGTGGCTCTTTGCCTATAAGTAAGGGCATGTTTTCGAAAAGTTGTTTTTATGCAAAGCTGAAAAGCATTTGGGGTGATAGTATTTTGGTTTTATTAAAAAAAATAAAATTAATTCAAGAAAATGAAATCTCTACTCTTATTAATCTCTACTCTGAAGGGCCTATAAAAGATTTCTGTCTAAAAGATTTAGTTGACTATAATATCTTCAATTGGTTGTCATTTAAGTTTTTTCTATATATACGATTATTTATTAGTAAATGATTAAATAATTTTTTAAGCTAAGTAATTTTTTTGTTGGTTAAAATTGCAAGTAATTTAGCCTTGAAATTATTTTTATTTTTCTCAAAATCAATTTCAATTATAAATTTGGGATCCATAACTTGTAACCATTATTTAATTATACATTTCATTAATTTTTATCAAAATCTATTCAAATATCTATTCAAACCACCGTTTGGTACCCATTTTTTTGAAAATGCATTTTTCTCTTTCTTCTTTTTAACCACACATTCTTTATTAAAATAATATTACACGTAAATAAAAAAAATTTCCTTATTTTTCAACCATAAATTTCCATCAATTTATTGTTCTAAAATGCATTTTTACATGAAAATGGATATCAAACACCCCCTAAATGTAAGAGTAACATCTAGCCTTAAGTCAAAATTATTGATAAATATTTTAAAAGTGATATCATCACTATTTAATAGAAGAATTATGGAAAAGAAAAGTAATAAATATTTAAGGTGCACCCTTGAAATTACCAAAACAGGAACGGAGTGTTTGAAACGGTAGATTATTACCAAAAAGAATTTACTAATTTTCATTTATTATATTGCTAGTTTTATTAATTATTACATTCCAAAAGCACTCTAAAAATATTTGTCATATTTACATTATAATTATTTCTCAAGTATACATCAAGTCAAATCACGTTTGAGATAGATTCGTTACTAAATAAATAGTGCAATATATAAAATTTTCAAATTCTATATTAAGGAAGAGAACCATGTCAAATTGTATTATCGACTACTATCAATTTTCTATTCCGTACTATCCGATCTAGCATACATAACGTGCCATTATTTCAAATTATTTTAAGGATGTCACTATTTCAAAATAGGAAATGCCTTGCATTACAAACAGTATACTATCAGAAATTATGATGCTAAAAAGCCTAGGCACCCTCTTGGACAACAAATTTAGACCAATAAAAATGAATATACTGAGTCCAACAAAAGGAAGGAAATGTGATTAAATGAAAATATTCAAAGCTCCCTCTATAATGATATTTTTGTGCAAATGTGCCTCTATACAATAAGGGCATGTTTGGTACACAATATTATATTAGAAAAGACCAGACAATACAATGAACAAAATTTTAGTTTCTTTTTATTCCTTAACACTACCTTGTATTATCGAATCCTCCAACGAAACATGCACTAAGGGACCAAACATTCTTAAGAACCTCAAGAGAGTTGGAAACTTTGTATTTTTTCCTAAATCGAATCAATCTTTCTCTTTTGAGAGAGGTGATATCAGATGATGCAATGTACTTGTTTGGATAACAGTACTAGGATTGGTGTCTCTTGTGCGGGTTGAGACCGATTGCCTGATGCCAAAATTCCTCTCCGTCCCACTTCTTGACAAATGTTGCCATGGCTTTGGGAGGGCACGCGCCAGCCGAGTTGAAGCTACCAGTAGGATAACACCGACCAGAATAAATATCCTGCATTTGAAGATCTTGATGTGAACAAGTTTCTACTGTATTTTGACCAAATCCTGAAGATAAAAAATTGTAGGTAGGACTAATCGGTGTTCGGAAGATTAGACGCAGACATTTGAGACATGACTTCAACCAGAAAATCACACTTGTTCCCTATCTGGCAAGTGTTTGAAGATTAGATGCACTTGAGACATAGCTAATCACTGTTTGAAGATTAGATGCAGGCTTTTGAGACATGACTTCAACCAGAGAATTACACTCATTTCCCATCTGGCAAGTAAGTTCTGCTTATGGCAGATTAAAACTCCTACAGTCCTACTACTTATATTATAAACTCAAAAGTGCAGGATGGGGAAAAAGAAGGATTAAGAGAGTGAAGAGGAGAATAGAAGAGAATAAAAACGAAAGAGAAGAAAACACAAACTAAATCTAAACTAGTTTCCACATATTTGATCAGAGTTAGTAGCATGTTTCAAGAGGAATAAAAAAGACAAACGAATGGATATAGCATACCATCCAAGCAGAAGGGAAAGACGAGCCACTGGCGCTGAAGGCAATCCTTCACCCAATGCAAACATACCAGCAAGTACACCTGTCATGATTGATGCAACAGCAGCGCAAGTAGACAAAACAATTGCTCTCCCATGCTTCAAACCACGTGTCTATTTTGGAAGATTGAGAGCAATTATTATCACAAATACATACTCAATCAATAGCTACGTTACATAATACTATATGGCAATGAGATCAATCCTAAAGGAATAGTCCCTTCTAAGGGGCAAATAGATATCTGAACATGGTTTGTCTGAATGCAAATTTAGCAAAATAAACTAAGGATAGAAAGAACAGTAGCCTGATTGAGAGACAAAAATAGCACCGGCTTTTAAATTACCTGGTAAACAAATCCGGAACCACTGCAGGATATGCTGATTAATAAACAAATGGGTAGCAGTAACTTAGAAAACCCCTGCTCCATGAATACAAATCCCATCTTCGAACGAGGGCTTAATAAGAAAAAGACAAATGAGTGCATATATGTCCTTTGTGAACTAATAAAACGAGTGAGAAGTGAAGCCTAGTTTCAGGAAACGAAAACCTCTTTGAGTTTTTTGGAGAAATAGAGTTGAGTGTGGTGAGGGATTAATTCTCCACATAAATGTGTTGCTGTTGCACTCCAATCTGGTATTCACTCCAAAAAAAATAATAAAAAATAGAAAAAGGAATATCAGTTCAAGACTAGAAATTGAAACCCAGCCCGTTGTAGATTGATCTTACTGTCATGAGCATTGATACTCCCAATAAAAACAAAATTGCCTGTGCTTAACAAAAACCCAAGGTAACTTCCATTCAGCATTCTATTACCATAAAAAATTTTGAATACCTAATCTATGACGGATAACAATATTGTTTCCAGCTCAAGAATAGAAGAGTATGGAGCAAAATCCATAGCCCTCGGATACAGCTTTAAGAAATGAAGATACTCATCATTTTATGCATTGAGAACATTCTCAAGCTGTCGGGCAATTGTCTCTCGTGTAGGCACTGAACTAGCATGTTGTACCCCTCAATAAGCCAGCATTACTCACACAATGTTCCAGAACCTATTCGAGAGAGTGACTGCTGATCTCCTAACTTTGGTTAATTCAAAACTTGCACAATGAACAAATCAAGCTGTCAAGATATCCAGCATCTCAGCATTGATTGATATCGACTCCAAAAAGTACAACAGTAACAAGGTATTAAACAACTACACGAGCACAAAAATCATCTTCTCTTCGTGACTTAAAAGTACAGTGGCATTCTTTGAGCCTTCTTTCCCTTTTAGCCAGTCTTAAAATCATAAAGTATTGAAAGTTAACCCAATCGATATTAAAAATAATAAAAAATACTAGTGAAGTCATATTAACCCCCATCCTAGTGTCATGCCTTGGTGCTGAATAACCTCCCTATATTTGTGTTGACATTTGAACCCCAAAGTTACATAATATCAAACAAATTACACCACTGTCAAAGCTTGATATTACATACATTTGATGCAAGTCTTCTAAGGCCCCATTTTGTTTGGTATATTTAAGCGGATTTAATCACTGTCAAAATCAAGTAGATGTTGATGATTACACTGTGTAAAACGTTTTACCATTCATAAAGTTCAAGAATAATAGTTATGGTTATCTTTTCATAATCATTAATTACAAATAATTATAATTAGATAAAATTACCCAAAAAAAAAAGGCAAGTCTTATTGCACTTTTTCCACTTGAAGTGACAGAAATACCCCTGACTTAACCAACATCCTTCCCATCCTTGTTAAATGGGTTTGAAAATCAAATAGATTCTGAAACATTAAAATGAAAATATAACCAGATCTTACACCATGAAACTCTAATTACACTAATTTCACATCAGCTCTTCATTGTCCTCTAGATCAATGTTTGAAGTGAGAGATAAGAAAAGATGGTTGAGATCTTGTATATGTCGGCAATTACGACAAATCTCGGTTAAAGTTTGAGGGAAGATTTGGGAAATGAACCTCATTCCAAAACCAGGGAAAATTGCCATTAAGGCAGAACACACCAAGAAAGGGGTAACTTCAATGTCTTTGCCCCTAGAAATTATATGGTAAATTCAATCCAACCAATGACATCTTCATATGACCATAATTAACAAACCACAAGGTTAAACTGAGAGAAGAAAACCACAAAAGCATAAAAAGTTTCTTGTTACTAAAATTCAGGTAAAAAATGTACCCAAACAAAATGCCAGATTCCAAGCCATATATTATTTCCTCAACAACTTCATATTGCACCTGAAAGGGGAAAAATGCAAAAACGTGTCAGTCCAATCAACAATATACTTTATAAGGAACATAAGATTTACCAAGTCCTGTTCTCTTCGCCGGCATCTGTAAATACGAAGCCATCCATTAAGCAGTACCTGTAGTCACCAAAGCATTATAAAGGGGTCACTATTACAGAATAAAAAAGTAACAGCTTATTGTTTTTCCTTTTCTTTTAACCGAGAAGAAAAGTTAAAAGCATGTGACAAGATTCAAATGCCCAGAGGCCAATCATTACAAACACAGTGAAAATAAAAAAATAATTGCAACAAAAAGGGACACCTCCTCATTCCCCCCTCCAAACCCCCCGCACATAGACGTGACTTTTAAAATATAACTAAGTATGATCCTGGGCACTTTAACATTTAAATTTAAGATACCTCAAAACTAAGCGTCAGAGTAATAGTTAAGATGACCTAGAAAATGGAACATCCCTCCAGCTAAATGCTCTCATTTTAAATGACATGGAGTTTTAGGTGAAAGTTATTGGTACATCATGCAAATCCCCATTGTGTCGGTCACAAAATGATGGCCAAGAATTCTTGTATTACATAATTACAAAAAGGAAATAGAAGCATCCAATTGTGGATGATCGTAGTACAATGTAAACTTATCATAATAGTAATTGATGTTAACACCAATCCCACCCACCCCCAAACATTCTCTCAGAAGAAGAGGAAAAGAAAACAAGGGAGAGAAGAAAGAAAGATGCAAATTAAAATAAGGTCCCCATCAGTCATTACCAACTGCTACCACCTCTATCGTCCACCTATGGAATGAGTCACCATCTCCACCAGTCACCTCTCCTCTACAATTTGGTGGTCGTTAATCTAAAGTGGTGGTAGAAGTTTAGGGCTGGTAGTCGGAGAAATTATTGGCGGAAGGCTAGAATGGCCCAGTTGAGAAGAAAGGACAGCAAGATTGTGGTGATGGTGGGAGCCAGGGGGTAGATTTCTCTGGTGGTGAGATGCAAATGGGTTTGGGGCAAAACAATAATGGAAGGAAATGTTCGAAATTTTTAATATGGCCATGGTTAAATTTATTTATTCTCATTATTTCCATAATTTGATAAAACATCCCATCCCCATCTCCACCCTCAAGCTTGTTTGCTTGCCATATTGCTGATAGACCGACCATCCTGAAAATTAATCCGAGTTAAGGAAAGTCCAACCAGACACAGGAAACTAGTTGTGAATTCTACATCACTCTGAGAACTAAGCAAACCTATTTTTTTCTTTTAACTGCAACATTTTGGCATACAATTATTAGAATGAATGTAACTAATTGCACTAAATTAATCATGTCTCTCTCTTTAAGTTTTGATGCAAGAATATTTAACCAATCAAATCAAAGAAAAACTTGAGCAATCTGTAAAATTACCAGGAAAATGCCACATAACAGGATACAAAGAAGTATATGAAATAAGATCAAGGAATACAACAAAACATAACGTTTCAGATTGCAACAAAAATTTAACATATATCTGTAATTGACATTTAAAGCGCAAAATCATTAAGAATTAGTGTCCAAGGGTGTATGTAGCACCCTTTAACGGTATGTACTCGTAACAGGGTATATGTAATACTGATGCACATACAACATTTTAAATAATTATGAAATTGCTCTTATTGTCTGATGGTGAATAGGGTAAGATACCTACAAACAAGAATGCAACAATAACCCCCAGCCAAGGTAAATGGAAAATTGAGATAGATGAGTTTTGCTCCTCCCCTCCAGCACCAACACCTGTTGCATATAAAGATATATAATATTTAGAAATTAGAGGAGGACCAAATTTCAACTTCAAAATTATTAAGTAAGGGCATAAAGCATCTTCATTTTAGCGTTTCAAAGAGTTCGTATTACCTATAGTGCCGATGCCAGCCAGAGAAATTCCTATCCAGTCAATAGTATTCATGGTCTCCTTCAAATAAAAATGGGAAAAAACTGAAAGGATGGCAAGTCCGCAGCCAGAAACAGGTTGAACGACAGATACCTAGAATTGATCATTAACATTATGGGAGATGCATAAGCAAAATTTCATATTATTACCTTTAAGAACACATAAATTGCTGAACAGGAGAAAATTAGAGAGCTTGCTCGAAGTTTGTATAAAAGAAATTGCTCATAAAACATTTACAGGAGCTTGAGATAGTGCTCGCAGCATCAAGACAGCTCCAAAAATGTCCATCAGAAAGCCTATAATCCATGTTTTATTGGAAGCATATGTTTTTATGACCTACAAAAACAGATCATTTCAAAACACCCAAAAAATATTGAGTAGTAGAAGGAAAAATGTTAAGAAAGTTCAGAAGGAAGAAGAACAACGAGTAAGTTTTCAATATGATCAACAAACAGCTAACAATTTAGTTTGCTTAACTCCAGAAACTGAGCAATAAATAGTGTAAATGAAGTTATTTGGATTTTATATTTCATAATTATTAAAGCATTGATCAACTAAAAGTTGTTAAATGAAATTATATTGCTATATTGCTATTTTTAAAATAATAAGGGTATGTTCGGTAGTGATTATGAGAATTGATTTTTTGACCATTCGAAAGAGAAGTGGATCCAACCTGAGTGAAGAAGTCAAAAATGACGGCTGGAATAGTGAAATAACGGTTAAAAAATCAATTTTTTGAGATGAAAAATTGCTATCAAACGGGAGCTAAAATACCTTTTCTCAACTATTATCAAGTTGAATGCCAAGACAGGTCAAAATCCTCATCATTTATTCATTCATCAGTACACAATAATGTTGCTATTCCATGGTCAAATATAAATGTTCACACGAATTACTTTTTCATGTATTTTTCTTTGGAAGAAGTTAAAGACGTTGATAACTACTTTTTGTAGTTGATAGCAAAAATGAAGTTTCATACCATCGACCCCAAATTTATTGAGAAAAACATCAGTGGAACAATCAAAGACACATTAACTCATGCCTGACGCACTGAGATTTCATATTACAACCCAAAAAAGGCTTCCTTGCCTCGTATTTATATCGGAATTAGCCATTCCGGAAATGATTTGGCAAACTAAATCTGGAGATAGCTGAATCTTTCAACCTTGCGAAACTCGGAATATGCCATTTCAAACTCCATCTAGTCAATATAAACCCCATCCGCCATCAACAGAAAAACAGAAAATAATAACAAGTCATTTGCAATAAAATATCACATTCAAGGCCATTTATTAAAAAGACTCAAAGTAAGGGGTGCATTTCATTTGCGATTGCCTTTTTAATTCTTTCCTTACAAATTCATTTCATTCATAAAAAACACGAGCTTACACTATCGAATCATTCATAAATTCATTTCTAAATTAGGTAATCCAATACCGCAAAACACTAAACGAATCATTGAAAAGCAAGAGGAATTGAAAACATAATCTGTTTCTTGAAGGGGACGCAACAATAAATATCAATTAAAAACAGGAATGTATGAATCCAAGATTCATATAAAACAAAAACCAAGAAATGCAATACATACATATATTAGAAGAGAAAATGTGCACATACCTTGAGCTTCAAAGAAAGAGGAGGGAGAATGACGGTGCCTTTTTTCTGCAGGACTTTGCCTATGTTGTTGCCGGCCGTAGCCGCAATCGTCAAGCAGATTGATTCCCACATCTCTCTCTCTCTCTCTCTCTCTCTCTCTCTCTCTCTCTGTGTAACGATTTATACGCGGGACCTTTGTATATGGATATCGGGGTTAGAAATCTCTGTCTAATTTCGACAACAATCACTCTCCCAGTCACCCTCCATCTCTGTCTAATTTCGACAACAATCACTCTCCCAGTCACCCTCAAGTCTTCTTTTTCCGTGTTTGATGAGATTACAATAGTAGTCCCTTAAGTTTTGTTTCGTGTTACTCTAGTCCTCACCAAATGTTGTGCAGTGAACTCAGAAGGTCTCACTTTAGGTGTTGTATTAAAATTATAAATTAATATATATTTAAGCTTTCTGAAAAACGTTATATTTACGTCAATTAAATCATGGTTTAAAATCAAATAATTTAGTTTGACTTCGAAAATGAATTGGAATGAAATTTTTTCAAACCATTTGATTTGAAAATAGTAAAAAGCCGTCCAAACTGAACTATCAACATCCCTAAACATGTAGAATAAAGATTGTTACGTGTTGTCATACTTGGGCAATATACTTAGGCCTATGGCCCATTCAATCCGAGCCACGTGGCACTCCAGCCGAGATGGCATGTATGGCTAAGGCTTTTCATGTCGAGGCCCATATACCGAGGCCTTAAAAGCAACCGAACTCCCTATGTCGAGGCCTGTGAAGATTTCCGAAGCTCTGAAGCGAAAGTACTACATGAGTGGCAGAAGCCCCCAAATCATGAAGGAACGTTTTCTATGATCACCTCCCCCAAGAGATCTTCTACATAAAGATTTTGTTTGAATAATTGATAGAATGTTTACCATAAGTGTATGTGTTAAGTCTTATCATTAGCATTGGGGTTCTGCACAAACAATAAATGCGTAGCAAGCTAGCAAATCAAAGATGATGTCTAGGATTGACATTGAAGGGCTAATGCAAGAATCAAGACAAGAACTATATTTTACTCTCTTTCATAGTTTCTTACAAGACAATACGAGTTCATACATATTTACATGCACACTCATGAGCACCGATTGGTAATTATTGTACGATCGGAATTAAGAACATCCCGTCGAATTTCGAACGTTCTCGTCCTGCGTCGTTGAACTACTCTCACGCCCCTGATTCGTTCGTTCTAGACCGTCCACATGTCTTAGCGTGTAGGACATTCGCTTACGTGTGCGTGAGTGGGTCCGACATCTGTTGGCAACACTTTTTTGGGGTCAACAAAGACGTTAAAACGTCATTTTGTGCATGTAAATCTATCTCAAACCATGCTACAAAAGGCAACTCGACTTATAAAAGTAGTGCCCAAGAACAAGTTTACCTAACATATTAAAGTCCAGGTCATATACAAGTCAGCTCGACAAATAAAAAGTCTATCCAAGCTCCCAAAAAGTCAGCTCGTGCCTTAGATTGGTTCTCTCCCATAGCTCTATAGCTAGACAGCCGGTCATCCCACAAATGTTACAACATCTAGAGCTTTGAGAAGGGATCAATGTCCAAGATAGATCATCTAATTTTCACATATAGTCAACGTTTAAATTTTAAACCACCTGTTCGTTGAATCAAGAATCAGAGGAGACTACAACATTAGTACAAGAACATCAAAACGCCTAAAAACAAAGATATACAACCAACAAGCACAATTCATTTAAAGTAGCATATGCATACAAAATTAAAAATCCAATCTTAAAGACCTTATGAAGTCTAAAAACATCCAAATCTGCAGTTAATTTGGACAATAACATTACAAAAACAACCAAAATTTTGCAACAGCAAATTGAAACCAGAACAAAATTGGGAAATGGAAAGTCCCATCTGCAAATCAGGGGACTTGCATCTTCCCAATTACAAGTCGATTACACATTTAACTAACCTAAGAAATAAGATAATAAAATATTTAGATTGAAACGGCATTACAGGAGATCAGCGACATTGGCGGGCAGCTCCTCAATTACCACATTATAGAATTTCTGTATATCAAAAAGCATCCGGTCGTCATCTTTGGTAACAAAATTGATAGCAACACCCTTCCTCCCGAATCGTCCACTACGTCCAATACGGTGAAGGTAGTTCTCAGGCTGAGTCGGCAGATCATAGTTGATAACAAGTGAGACTTGTTGAACATCTATACCACGGGCCAAGAGGTCAGTGGTAATGAGCACACGAGAAGAACCAGATCGGAATTCCCTCATGATGATATCTCTTGTATTCTGGTCCATGTCTCCATGAGTGGCAGATACAGTATGATCACGGCTGCGCATTTTGTCAGTAAGCCAGTCAACCTTACGCCTGGTGTTAACAAAGATGACACTTTGGGTGATGGCCAAAGTCTCATAAAGATCACATAGAGTTTCAAGCTTCCATTCTTCTTTTTCGACATTAACATAGAATTGCTTGATACCCTCGAGAGTCAGCTCGTCACGTTTGACAAGAATACGGACAGGTTTATTCATAAACTTCCTAGTGATTTCAAGAGCCTCTGGTGGCATTGTCGCAGAGAATACACCAACTTGAATCTTAGGTGGCAAAAGCTGGAAGATATCATATATCTGAAAAGAACAAATCGCCATGTTTGAACAAAATATTGTGAACAGGGCTGAAATCACACTTCGGGCATTGTAATATCATTCAGAGAACTACAACCAAAGAAAACAGCATCAACCAACTGGAGGAGATGTTAAAATAATTTAACTCAAAAGTGATCAACAGTGGAAATAGTCATCGCATTTTAGAAAATGATATAGATAATTACTGACAAATAAAAATACCCAGAGGAACAACAATGTGAACAAAAAATTCACCATCTGAACAGTAAACAACATAACAAAATAAATTAGTAGAAATAAAAGTAAGCTGAGGCGAATATAGCCAATGTGTAAACAAACAGCAAAACACTCAGTTAGACAACAAACCAAGTTAAGGAACCACAAGGCAAAACAAATGCAAAACTCTAAAAAGCAGACCTGATCCTTAAAACCTCTTGAAAGCATTTCATCTGCTTCATCCAACACAAATATCTTAATGTAGTCAGGGCGAAGTGACTGCCTCCGCAACATGTCAAAGACACGACCAGGGGTTCCAACCACGACATGAACTCCACTGGAAAGAATACGCTGGTCTTCACGAACACTGGTACCTCCTACACAAGCATGAACCTTGACACCAAGATAGTCACCTAGTGCTCGCATGACCTTCTCAATTTGTTGTGCAAGCTCACGAGTGGGTGCAAGAACCAAAGCCTGGCATTCAACGGTTACATAGTCCAGCTGCTGGAGAATACCAGAGCAGAAAGTTGCAGTTTTCCCAGTACCGGACTGCGCCTGTTGAATTACATCAAGTCCCTTGCAAAAGGGAACAATTCCCCTCTGTTGAATAGCAGAGGGCTTCTCAAAACCTTGAAAAAATAAAGGAAAAAACACTTGGCCATATCAATTTCCAGACAGAACAGACCTGGTCTAATAAACACAATTGAAACCCACCTAAGGCCTGCCTCAAAGTGAGGCGTAAAATGCCTCAAAGCGCTGATTATGAGGCAATTTTTGGAAGCTTACACCTTGCACACGCCTCACAACACCGCCTCAAGGCTTGTGGCCAACAAAACATGAAATTCTTATTGACCCATTTTGAGAATAGCCCACTAAAACATTTAAAAACTTGTGGTTCTCGTAAGCCCACCTTGGAAATAGAACCGATTACACCTTTTTAAACATTGAGAACAAGCAGAAGAAAAAATAGAACTATTACAAAACTTATAAAGCCCAACAATATGGACTAATAAAAAGCAGTCCACACTTAGCAGACAGTTTACATTTACGTTCATACAGCAAAAGACCATACAAGTTGAATGGTGACAATTAACAAAGATGGCACTCCCACAGTTTCAATCTTGGCTTCACTAAGGAATTTAAAAAATTAACGGACAGTGTATATCATACTAAACAAATGAAGAGACGGTGAGAATAGAACAGATATAGCACTTTATTTACCATAAGCATAGATGCCCCTCAGAAGATTTTCTTGCAACCCCATAGCATCAAAACTATCATACACCTCATCATAACTTGCAAAGAATTCCTCACCATCAGCTCCAAGCCTGCACTCATTATAAATCAAATAAGAGTCATGTACCACATCATAATGGGACAATGTCATAAATAAAATCTGACATCATGGATCCCAAGGTTAAATTACCCAAAAAAAAAAAAGGGTTGAAACACGCTCTTCGAGCCTAAATTCAGTAACCTGATAATAATATTTATAATTCATACAGCAAAAGACCATACAAGTTGAATGGTGACAATTAACAAAGATGGCACTCCCACAGTTTCAATCTTGGCTTCACTAAGGAATTTAAAAAATTAACGGACAGTGTATATCATACTAAACAAATGAAGAGACGGTAAGAATAGAACAGATATAGCACTTTATTTACCATAAGCATAGATGCCCCTCAGAAGATTTTCTTGCAACCCCATAGCATCAAAACTATCATACACCTCATCATAACTTGCAAAGAATTCCTCGCCATCAGCTCCAAGCCTGCACTCATTATAAATCAAATAAGAGTCATGTACCACATCATAATGGGACAATGTCATAAATAAAATCTGACATCATGGATCCCAAGGTTAAATTACCCAAAAAAAAAAAAAGGGTTGAAACACGCTCTTCGAGCCTAAATTCAGTAACCTGATAATAATATTTATAACAGAAAACTTACAACTCATTCATTCTGGAATCATATTGACGAGCATCAAATTGAGAACCTTCAGTTGCCATGACTGCAAAAAGAGAATAAGAATACACCTCAGCACAGGCATAGATTAACTGCTTGACAAGGACATATCATTTAATGGAAACCAAAATCCTATAAAAAAAGTATGCGAAATTAAAAGAGGAACAAAATGTGTATCAACAAACAGAATGCATTTATTACTAAGTAAGAAATAAAAAATACCATCACTTAACATAGAAAAACAACAAAGAAATTAATGTGGTTTGACCTTGATTGTGCTACATGCCTATATCACTAGCAAATTTATACTGCAATGCTCAACTTTCCCTACAATCACCTAATGGGAAACAGTAGTCACTAAATGGTATTAAAGGTTAAAAAGATGATGATGATGAAAAATTTGTGTGCATAACAGCTGGTCTGATTCAAATATATAGTGAGCATCCAACTTGCTACTTGTGCATTTAATATCATTGGCTACAAAATAAGCAAAAGAAACCTACCAAAAATAAATTAATAAATAAAATTCTTTTAGAAAACTTTCAAATTACTAATAGCAGAAAGTGATAATCCATTGTTCTTCACACAATATTCAACCTCAAAAAAGCTCATTACTTTTTGGAGTATTTACTACACAAATATTTGGGAGGGGGGGGGGGGCATTTGCACATATAATCAACCATGTAAATTCAATCATTAGTGCAAAACACAAAAAGAAGACGACAAAGAAAAGCTTAAATCTTTATATTCATAAAATATGTAAAAAATGGTCTAATTTTTAAAATTAAATTAACAATAAAAACATACGATCTTCAACACAAATAAGGCCAAAAACCAAACACGCCCAAGTTTTAGAGCAAAACTCAATAAACAAGCTCTGTTTCATCACAGATCAATTACCAAAACACTTAACATATTCTGTCCACTTAAGCGTGCGATATATATATGTGTGTGTGTGTGTGTGTGTGTGTGTGTGTGTGTGTGTGGAGAAAGACATATAGACAAGAGGCGGCGAATTGATTTACCTGTAAAGAGTAAAAAATTGATAAAGTTTCGAAAAAGAGAGTCTACGGAGTGAGTGCCTTTCGTGAATTATTCCGGAACTCCTCGAATCTACGCCGCGAGTGGTAGGAGAGAGAGACTGAAAAACAGAGCGAGATGAGTAATTTCTTAGGGATTAGGATTTGCTGCTTTTTGTCCTGTTTTGATTGAAGATTTACGATTTGGCCTCTCTGCGTCTTCATGAGACGGCGTCGTTTCGAGAGTTCTGTTGGATGGGTGATGTGATTGACGGCGTTCGGTTTTATCTGGAAGAACAATAGTTGGGCCTCTAAAGTATGGGCCCTGATCAGTCCCTGTCTTGGGCCTAATGAGTCCATTACCAAGCATACATGGATAACGGATAGGAAACTGACACAAATAGTACTATAATTATTTAATTATACTCTATTAGTCTTTGAAAAAAATTTTTTTTTGATTAAATACACCTCGAGTTTTTAAATTTATAGAAGTCCTTAAAAGATAAGTGAATACATGCCTCCAACAGTCGTCCGTCTATTTTTTTAAAATTATTTTCTTACTTATATTATTTTTTGTTTTTATTTCTAATTATTTTAAATAAGATAATAGGTAAAGACCTTTTTGCATTTCTTTAAATTGGTCAAATAAAGGCCCATCCCGAATTTTTTTGGTCAATTAATCAATTTCTTTAAAATGTATTTTTTTGAAAAAATGTGGCTCAAACATAGCCTCAAGCTGGTAAACCCACCCTAAGCCAAACCATCCACGAACATACTCTTCCCAACAAAATATTATTGATTTTTAGTATTTATAATTTTGAAAATTATATTTTTGTTGAAACTTAAATTCTTTTTATGAAGTTTCTATAAGTTTCCAAGGTATGAGTTATGATATTTACTTGTTGATCTAGAATAATTAAATAATATTAAAAAAATCTTTATTATATTTAGGTACAACTAGGTTCAAAAGGCTTGACACTTTACATTTACGCCACGTCATGTCTTTTACCTTTTAGATACTTGGTTGAAGGTAAGTTTAATCAAAATATGGAAAGAAGTAAAATGACAACTTTTGAATGAAAAATCAAAGAATACTATCTGCATGACCTTGGAGCATGTTTGATGCATAGTAGTTAAATGGACAATGTTTCCTTTTTTCATAATATGCGGGGATATATTCGTTCTTTTCGTTTTCTTTTTTTTTCTTTTTCATAATTCTGAAATTTCATGTAACCTAAAGCTTGTTTGACCTTGAGAACAAAAAATTCTTAAGGATGATTGATCCTGAAAATATCTTCCTGAAATTGTGAATTTCAGGCTGTCTAAAATAGTGAATATTGTTCGCTGCTCGACCAACTTCAGTCTCCTTTCAATAAGCATATTACAAGCTTAGTCAAAAAAGCCAAGTCCTTGTATGATCATCATTTTCTAAAATCCATTTTCCTTCAAACTCATTTTCTACAACACATTTTATGAGATCCATAATTTTTATTAATTTTCCAACTACATCGTCAATTTTTTTCAAAACTTACTAAGCCCTTTTTTGAGCCCCATTCTTTTCATAAGAATGAATTTTTTAATAGTGTATTGATAAAAGATGTGTGGTTAAAAAATTTGAATTTGTGAGTAATATTATTTTATTAAAAGATGTGTAATTGAAATTATGTCAAAATACTATTTAAAATTTTATTTATTTTTTTCTTTTTCAGAGAATGAGACTCAAACAGAAATTTTGATTTTTACCTAAGCGAAATGGGCTAAATGCATTTGCAATCAATTGCTCCTCAACATCAACAGACTATGATCCACCAGCAGTAAACTAAAATATTCTTTAATTCCATCGCAGAGGCTTGCCATTCAGGATACTTCTTCTAAGATGGGGTTAGGGTAAAAAACATAGTCAATCATTTTAGTCACCAAACTCTTTTTGGTTCCAACTTGGTCACTCAAATTTCTTTCCATTTTAACCCCTATTTGATAGCCATTTTTTATTTTAAAAAAAAGAAAGACAAATGAGTTTTTGAATAGTAATTTTTTAAAGAATGCGTGATTAAAAAGTAGAGGAAAGTTTTAAGTTTATGCGAAAAATATTTTATTGTGAGGATGTGTGGTAGAAAATAAGTATGCATTTTTTTTTTTAAAACAACAATCAAATTGGATGGAGGCTTGGTACCTTCAGGACAGTTTCACTGGTATTATACTATATCTGCACTTCTTGATGTTGCGGAGCCAAATTATCTTCATTTGTTACCGAGCTTCTAGTTTCTGGGCTGATGTTATTTTGCTCTTTTTCCTTTTCCTTTTCACTATCACTTTCTGCTTGTTCATCGGAATGTACAACCCCATTTTCCGCCACAGGCAGATTCCCATTCTCTGACATGCTCTTGGAGTCCACATTATGTACTGATTTTGGTAGTGATCTTGAGGGAGAGGTTGCCAATAAGCGATTGATCCCATCAAACAAATTCTTAGCATCTGCAATCAGAGCAGCCCCGCCAGGGTAACAGCGACCAAAGCAGGTGACGCAATGGGGAAAAGCAACCTGAAAAGAATTCACACAGAAATTTAACTTGTTATTTAGGCCCTGTTTGAGCCGCATTGTTTTAGAAAAATACATTCTTAAACAGTGATTTGACGTCATTTCCACCACACATTCTTCAATAAAATAATATTACACACAAATCCAAAACTTTTCCTCATTTTTTAACCACAGATGCTCCATCAATCTATTATTCCAAAATGCATTCTTTCAAAATAATGTGGCTCAAACACACTCTTAAAAAAATAGAATGTTTAATTATGCTTAAAATTTATTTTTCTAGAAACTTTCAACAGAAGGTTTATTTTAGAAAAAGAAATAACTTCGACAATCATGTTTGGCGAAAAAGTAAGTTTGACTTGCTTTTAAGCACGCCAATGTTAAAGCTATAAGTGGGAATAAACTCACTTCGATAAATGCTTGGCAAAGCTTAAGGAAAAGAGAAGATTCATTGTCCCTGAGCATTCTAGTTGTTTTATATCTCAATAAAGAATCAGAAACAGCCTGCAGTCCCTTAACTAACTCTTGAGCAAGCACATTTTTCAAACTTAATGGAGCACAAGGACGTAGTTCATTCATAGCTGCTGATATACCTGCCACCACCAGACAGAAAGTGCAACTAACACCAATCATTAGCTACAAAACAGGAATGCATAAAACACTTCCTAAATAAGACTACAATATTTAGGTAACAACCATAATTTACTCAAAAAGTCTACAAACAGGTTGACCAAAATTTAGAGAATCTTACCATTTATAAAAACAGCAAGAGGTGGATGCTCCATAAGATTAGGAGGAGGTGAAATATCATCCTGATTTTCTTCACCAAAACTGCTGGCCGGAAAGCCAACTGCTGGTAATGGAACCCAACGATGAGAATCCAACATTAACTGGAATAAATTAAGACAAACATATTACAAAACAGATTATTGCAGGCAGAGGAATAACATAAAAATATTATACTTGTGAATAATATTTTTTCATTGGTCTACCTGAAAATTCTCAACAGCTACGCTCATATTCTTTGAGAATAAATTAAGGACTGCTCTGTTATCATCCAAAGACATGTATAGTGAGAGCTTGTCCAAATATAATAAACAAGTGAATAATTAAAGAAATGTTGAATGTTAATTTACTCTTCAAATAGAGGTGGAAGCAGGCTGCGAAAATCTAACCCAACCCAGCCGAGACCCATGGCACAATACTGGCAACCACAAAGATATAAAGGTTATCATCTAATTATGGATAGAACATATCGCGATATACAGAAGCTCGTTAGGATACCCAACATAATAAGAAGCAATCATGGAAACACAAAGTCATAAACCTATTTGATTCAGAGGCATCTTCTCCAATGCAAGGATATTCAGTTCATCTCAGGCATTTAAGCATGGATAAAAGATATAGTAATTGACTATTTAATACATTTTGATAATTTTTTGGAACTATCCAGACCATCAAACAAATACAGTAGATATCCCCATCAAGAACATTTAAGAAAACACAAGGAACAGGAAAGCTCCATCTTTTTTAAGCCTTTTTTTTTTTTTTTTAATTTGGTTTCCGCCATGCGTTTGGTGGGATTTTTCTCAACAACTGATATTAGAACTCGCAGTTCAAACTCTAGGATTGTGCTGAATATGATGGTAAGTTCAATGTTTGAAGCTGTAGCTATGGTAGTAATTGAATCACACATAAGTATAGCTGTGGCGATCAAGTTATACTGATTGAATGACACCAATGTGGAGTTGCTATGGTCAAGGCACATGTGGAGCTATGAAGATCGACTTGCGAAAGAGATGATCTTCGTTTCTTGTCAATGTTTGAATTTAGTTCCTCCTACTACAATTGATGTGACTGTGGGCCTGTGGCCACCTTCTGGTAAAGAGGGCTGTAGGGGCGGACGCAGAAATTTTTAGTTAGGAGGGCTCAATCAAATTTTGTACAAATCGAATACTTTGTTCTTGATTTTTGAATGATTTATACTCGAACTGAGAACATGCAAATTTACATTTAAAAAGCATTTCTTCATTAACATTTTGCTCATCATTTTCATCATTTTGATTTCGAACAGTCAATGTCAAGGTACCTGAATGTTTGATCTGAGTTTTTGGAGAAGCTGAGAAAGAAGAGACTGGGTGGTTTGCCGAACTTCTGCAGCAAGAGCCTGAATCACTGGAATTCTTTTTTTGAAGGAAAACAAAGAGAAGAGTACCTTCATAAATACGTTGACAGGATAAAACAAATGCGTGTTGGTGAATAGAATTAGAGACAGAACTAACTTTGGGTGCATTGTTGTAAGTTTTACTACATATGCTTCTAAATCAAGAGCTTCATCATAATTCCCATTCCGTACACATCTACCAAAAGATAAAATTCAACTGTTACAGCATTAAATATATAAGATAAATAATAAGGAAAACGAACAAGTTTAGAGATGTACGTGTCCATAAGCTGAGGAATTTCAAGCAAGTCAAGCAAAGTACTACTATTGGCAAGCAAGGTTTGGTTCATCTTCCTCTTCTCCAATATTTGTTCTGCTGATTCTAGAAACTCAGTGCAACCAGAAGTTAACTTTGGGATTTCAGCTATCTGTAAAAAAAGAAATGAAACTACAATGAGCATAATTGTTTCAATTCTTCATATTCTCCAGATGAGCATCGAAGAGCATTGAAAAAAACCTAATTATTTTGATTGTTTCTAACTTGAAGTCTCTGGTCTGAAAAGCTAATATTCACAACGGATTACTCTTTAGACTACAAGGTCAACAAATATTCAAGGTAAAAACCATTTCCTTGAGCCATTCATGCCAACGCTTGATACAAATTCAAACTTCTTCCACTCCCATTTACTTTACTCCAATCATCAGTTGACTTGTTAACAATGCACCGGGTTCAAAAAAATAGAGTTGGATCAACAAATTGCAAGCATAGTTGTTAACATAGCAAGTTTCCACTTTTATTTTGCTCACACAACTATAAACTGCATTAAGAATGCAGCAGCCTTTTCACAGTGTTTGCAACAAAAAGAGCAATAACATTCACACTGTCCCATTGGATAACTGTTGTACTTCTTATACGGCACGGCCCAACAATCAAAACTAACTAGCACACCAATATGACATGCATCTTTGTACTACAGAAAACACAGATCGTTTCATTTTTTTTTTCCCCAAATTAAAAGTCTCCGATGGAGAAAACAATTTCTATTCCTTAAGCGAAATATACCGCAATACTTCCCTTCACAACATCAAGCTACGTAAGTTTCCTACCGTGACAAGTATGTCACAGCAATCAATAATTACTACTGCTCAGAATATAACACATGAATAGCATTATTTCAACAAGCACTACCATTTTCCCTCACGAATTGGCTTAAATTAAATTAAAACAAGAAGCAGCACTTCATTTTATTGAGGAGAAACCCACCCCCTTCACAGAAGATCTTATTCCACAACTTCACCCATAGCTTGCATTTTATTTCGATCAAATTACCAACTCAGTCCAGTCATTGAAACTCAATATCAATAATTATCTCACATTACAATCATATTTTGAATTATATATAAATCATAGGACATAGTCGCAAACTGAAATTTAACCCAAAATAATAATAAAAAAAGAAAAAGCAACAACAACAACAACAACAAAAATCTACCAGAGACTCAAGGTGTTTATCGATAGAGGAAACCTCCTCCCGGATCTCGAGCAACGCATCGGCCGCTGCAATGAAAGCGCGATAATTCCCCACAGCCACCTCCTGCATCTGCCTCCGAATTCTCTCCGTATCTACCCTTAATAGCTCCGGCTCCTACTACAATCAGACCAAAAAAACCGTAAGATAAATACATAAACGAAAAATATATATCCGTGTTTGTTTGTGAATTGAAATGTTGCGACCTTGTGGAGGCGATCGAGAGTAAATGAAAGGAGTTCGGAGACGTAGGGCTGCTGAGAAGCGGAAGCGAGTGGGAGAAACCCCGCCATCGCCGTTTCATCGTTCGCCGGACCTTCCAGTGACTCCATTGTAGGCATTTTGAGAGCTTAAAATCATATAATTTCCTTACTCGCGCTAAACTAAATATGAGATCTGTACAGTGGTTTATTAGATCTTTCCAAATTGGGGTCTAGAAAGATGATTTTATGTTTTATGGGTGTAATTGAATATTTTGAAAGTATTCGAGGATCACATTGTAAATTTGACAAAATACTCCATTGCTTGGAGTTTATGACCATTTTGATCTTTTTATAGTTTTGGCAAAACTCTTGAATCGAATCAGACTCGAATCGAATTGAATCGAGCGATTCTTTTTAAATTAAATACTTGAAAGATTATCTGAATTATGAATCAACGCGTTCAGCTCGATTCTAGGTTCTAGATAGAAAAAATCGAAGAACCGAATAAGAATTGAATTTTTATAAATCATTTATTTTAAATAAGTCAAATTATTTTATTTTTCTAAATAAATTTGCTAATTAATTAATTTAGCTCAAACCCAAAAATATGCTTTTTCTATAAAAAAAAATCATATTTCAAGTGTATTGTATGCACCAATTAAAAAATCAGGTAGATAGTTTAAAAATTCCAAATCCGGGTATATGTATAATTAATTAAAAAATATTATTAATGAATAGTCACAGATAAATAAATAAAGGTCACAAGTACATAAATAAATGTCACAATTAATTTATTGATCACATATTATCGAATTAATCAATCACGGATTTTTTCGAGGTCACAAATCAAAAATTTTATAGATCACAGTTTATTTCATTGATCACAAATCAAAAAATTATATACTACAATTTATTCATCAGTTACAAATTTTTAAAGTTGTTGATCACAAATTATTTTTTAGTTACAGATTATTAAATTTTAAGATCAGATAACCAAATAAGTGGTCACATATACAAAATATTGGATTACATACCATCGCCACTTGCGATCACCCTTACCTTGCCATCACCACCACAACCACCACCATCAATTGTCGCCACCACCACTGTAAAAAAAAATTAATAAAAAATTAAACAAATACCTCCGCTCCCTACAAATACCACAAAACAAAACCACTACCATAGTCGTTTGTACCACACCATCAATAAAAACCACAGCCACCGCCTGCACACCACCACCACCAACAAATACCCATATCCCACGCCATCCCATCCACAATCACTGTCACCACTTCCACAACCACCACCACTTCCTTACCACCGCCAACCAACATCACATTCACCATCACCCAAAAACAAACAACAAATTCCACTACCAACACTACCACTACAGCCATCACCAAGATTTGAAAATACAACCAACAAAATCCCAAAAATCATTAACTACAGATCAAAAAAGTGAGAGATAACACCTAAAAACCCCAAAATCCCCTTCTCACGCTGGCACCAATCGCCATTTGAACTTGCAAGTGCCACATACTTTTGCCGTCATTCGCACCAATCATCGTTTGCATTGCTCGTGGTAGTGTCGGTTGGCGCTCATCACTACTGTGTCGTCGCCATGCTCATACACCTAACTGGAGTTGAGAGGAGATATGAAGAGGGAGATGGTGGAGAGAGAGAGACGAGAAATAAAGTGTAAAGAAGATAGGAAAAATGATTTAGGATTTGTTTGGATTAGGTAGGGTGGGTATAAATAATACCTAATTTTTTATTAAAAAGCCTTTCTACCTGATTTTTGCACTGCCATCTTGAAATCTTGGATTTTTGTAATTCCCTCTTTTCCTAATTCTAATTTTCAGTCTAAACTCAACTTAATTAAATTGACCTAAGCTTTTATCTAGGAGTGGGCTTTTTTTCCCCAGAACTAGTGGAATCGGACCAAAATCGTTTGGGATCGGTCGGTTCGGTTCCAGATCTTCTAAACAATAATTTGATTTTGGGACAAATTATTAAGAATAAACCGGTTCTTGATTCTAGTATGGGAATCGTCGGGAACTGAACGATTCTCATAGAATTTTTTTTTTTTTCCTTTTTTTGGGTAAAATATATTACTCAATCTCCAATCACTTTTATAAAAAATAATCAGGTTTCTTCTTCATTTATGGCTCTAGTACTTTCTTTCTCCTTGATTCTTTCATTATCTATTCTTATAATTCTTTGATTAATTGATTCTCAAACCAAATTAGAATATTGGGTATATCTATACCTAAATAAATTTATTTACCACATATAATTTCATTTCTAAGATACAAAATTTTTATTTTGTTTTCACTTTGATTACATAGTTGTTGATTCGATCGAAACTTTTCATTTAGATGTCTACAAATTATAACCGACAGAAACGAAAGTTACAATAAATTTGTAAAAGGTGTACAATTTAATGTAGGATTTTGATTTTAATGGAAGTTTGTTTGATCATTAGAGTATTATGCAGTTTATATAAGTTGATGACTGCTTGATGATAGTAATTTATATTATTTGGATATTATTTTTAAATTTGTATACTTAGTTTTCTTTTAATCTTTGAATAGTATATTCAATTCTTTTATATTTTATTAAAAGTATCACGTTAGTAGCATCTTTGAATTTTTTATTAGTCGACGTTTTATTTTGACATTTTCAATGTAAAGAATCGGACTGAACCGAACTGGAATCGATTGATTCAGTTGAGAGCACCTCTCTTAATTATTGTGAGCGCGCTATCTTTCTCTTCCTGTGATTTTAACAATCAAAATAATGAATAACTCAATAAAAAGAGATGTAAAAGACACATAAGATTGAACTGCGTTATTTTGTAAGAGTTAAGATTAAATATGTCATTAGTAGAATTAATGTAGCTTTTTAAATATTAATAAAATTAATTATAGTACAAAATTTGGGAATCGAACGAAACCAAATCGAACTGACTTGAACCGAATGGAACCGAACCATAACGATTCCATAATTAAATTTGGATAGTCTTGCAGCGGCAACAAAAAGAGCTGCTACTCTCACTGATGTTACGAAGACTCCCGCTCTGAAAGCCTAAAATCGCTCTCGGAATTAAGCACCTTTCCAATGCCTAATGTGGCTCTAGCTGATGCCCAGACTTCCATAGGTCCTTGGTTTGACCTCCCGTAGTGGTCTTTGCTTTTAAGAAAGCTCCGTGGGGCCAGAAGCTATTCCTGACTCTTTAATAAGGAGTAAAGCCTTCCGAAGGTGGGGGACAACAGTTGTATTCTAGTGGTTGTGGATAGATTCTCAAAATATGCAACCTTCCCCAACAAGAGATCCGACGGTTTCACTTACTAAATACTCAAAAATTTCGGGTTCAGTTCCTTTTTTAAATTTTTTTATGAATTGAAGTATTGTCTACAATATCAACTTTTCTTTTGACCTGAATAAAATGATTAGAAGTTTTATTTCCACCAGAATTATTCATTGTATGCTGGAGTGTTCAATATATAATATTTAATTGTTATAAGGAAAAATAGTCGCACTAATTTTTTGTAGAATGACTTCAAGTCTGTTGACATAGGCCGAAAAAACAATCTTGTTATACTGTTGTATCGTATCCTCTTCTTTTACCTTGTATCCTAGCGTCCTTCCACCATGCTACGTCCCCCTTTCTCCCTTCTCGTGTTCAGTGATGGTATCGAAAAATTATTTCAGTGCAGACATGATGAGTCAAAGTGATACATGTTAAATAATTGAAAATCAACGATTTGAGTCTTGGTGAGAGCCTAGAGAGAGGAAGACGAGAATAAAGTTGGGCTCGATTTTCAGTTGATAGTTATTATTCGCTAATGATTCGTCCATTACAGTGTAACATCAATAACAAAGAGCAAGGACAAGTGATAACAAAAGAGAGAACTTTGATTTGAATTGACTTCCACTAAATATCAAGGAGTACATAGCTATTTATCAATTCTTCAATAACAAAAACTTAACCGTGCGATGATTCATATGTGAAGAATTTATTTGCTATTTGTATTTTATAATCACAGTACATAAATAACTCCTAGATTACCCATATTACATGAACAATTAATTGAATTACAAACATAGAGGATAATGAAAGTGTACAAAATGCAAAGGGACAAACAAATATAAATGTAATATACTACAAAATATTTTTCTATCTTAATAAATATACGCTCTCAACCAAGAAGTACGAAACTTGAAATAAACAACAGCAAGAAACAGAAAATGGATTCCAGATGAGGAACAGAAGCAGCTTTTGAAGCATAGAAATAGTAGTAAGGATAAGGATAAGGATAATCCTTTGGTACACCAACACTTTTGGGGGGAGGAGGTGGAGGGCAAGTCGGACGACGAGGAGGAGGTGGTGATGGTGGTGGTTCCGGTAGTGAAAATAGCGGTGGTGAGCCAAAATAGTATGGTTGCTGTGGCGAGTGGTGGTGGACTGGTGGCTGTGGCGGTGGAAGCGGTGGCGGCGGCAGCGGCAGCGGCTTTGAATTGACTGGTGGGGGTGGGGGTGCACATATGACAGGGCATGATTCACAGTCACTAATGCATAATGAACCTGCTTCTGGCATGCCTGTTTGATCCTCAGATTTTGCTGCGCATAACATGATCAAGAAAAGAAAATTCCATTCTCTTGTCATCAATTCAAGAATTCTGGGATTTTTCATCTGGTTTTCTTTAGGAAAGTTGATGACAAAATGAAGATTCTGTGTAAACTTTGAATTTATAGGTGCCTGAGGGTAACAAGGCTATAATTTATAGATTAGATAGTCTATGCCTTTATCCTTTTCAAGCTTGTGTATGGCTCATTCAAGAAGTTCGATTTAGATGCTTTTTCAAGTATTAAAGAATTCTACCGTGTATAAGTAAAATACTTTTTAATTTATAAGCAAGCACACTAAAAAAATAAAAATAAAAACTAACTTATAATTAAGCTTGCATATATCTTGAAATCACACTAAAAAATGGGAAATATAAGTGGTGAGAAACCAACTTGCAATGTGTTTTTGAATTACGATTTCTTTCTTATTTTTCTAGGAAAAACAAATGGGGTGTCGAACAATTCCATCACAATCATCGAGTCATTAAAATGGTAAATGTTGTGCAATATTTTGAAAACAGTGACAATATATTTGGTATGTTAGACGGAACATAATTATAGAAAA